TCTCAAATTTATCCTTTTTATTAACCAAGTAGTATTCCATTATGTACAGATATCACATTTTCTTTGTCCATCTATCTGTTACCGGACATACAGGCTGCTTCTAGAATTTAGCTATTATGAATTGAACTGCTGTAAACATTGGTATGCATGTATCACTCTAACGTGATGTCTTTAGCTCTTTTGGGAAGATACCTCAAAGGGGAAGAGCTGGGTCATATGAAATTTGTAATTTTAGTTCTTTGAGAAATTTCCAGACTGATTTCCGTAATTGTTGTACTAGTCTGCATTCCCACCAGCAATAGAGAAAGGTTCCTTTTTCACCCCAGCCACACCACCATTTGTTAGTTTTTGACTTCATGATGATTGCCATTCTTTCTGGTGTAAGATAAAATCTTAGTATTGTTTTAATTTGCATTTTTCTAATGGCCAGAGATGCTGAACATTTGTCCATATGTTTGTTGGCCATTTGTACTTCTTCTGAGACATGTCTGTTTTTAACCAATAAAAACATTTAAATTTACCATTTGGTGTTGGGTCTGAATTGTTTTATTTCAATGACCATTTATTAAAGTCCCTAATAAACTTCTCTTTGGTCATTTGCAACTTCATACCCCTTATTAATTCCTTCATTACAATTTCAAGTATCTTATTCACAAATTATTCTACTATAAGTTTTTGTGTGTGAAATTTTAATTTTAGGATTTATAATTATTACATAATTCTAGAATTTGATACATGTATACAGCATGTAATTGCTGAATTAAGTTAGTTAATATATATCCATCACCTCAAACCTTTATCATTTTCTGGTGGTAGGAACATTCAGGAACCTCTCTTGCAGCTATTTGGAACTGCACAATAAATTATTATTAACTGTAGTCACCCTGCAATGCTACAGAACACTAGAATTTATTTCTTCTTTCTAACTGTAGTTTTGTAATGCTCAGAATTGAGGGGTTCTATACAATTTGATAGGGAGAGAGAGAGAATCCTTGCCTTGGAGTTTAGGTAAGCTAATTAAAATTATATGTTCAATGTGAGACCCTTTCAATTCTTCAATTTGTCAATTTTTTATCATACATACCTTAAATTTTATGAAGTCCATTAGGATTTTGTTTTTAACATAATATTACCCAAACTTAATATATCCCAATATGTAATTATTTCATTTGCTTGAACTCTATTTTGAAAGTATTTCAGATATATGAATTATTGTTTTAAAGCTATTAAAGTATTCAGAAAATACCACGAACGACATTTGGAGTTGACCCTTGGAGCTGTTTCTGAAATATTTCTCTGTAGACTTGTTCTAGAAGTGGATTTCAGAGAAATACACTGTGAAGAGCAAGATAACACATTGGAAATTGGTGTGAATTGTGAAGAAAAGGACCAACAGCATAGGGTACATAAACTAGAGTCAGGAATTGAAATCAATATGCAGAATACCCTGACATTGGAAGAGGTTTGTGATCTTTGTTTTCATATTCTAGTAATCTCATATTTCCTCAGGTGCCCAGTCCTTACTAAACCATGGTATTATTTTTGTGGAAAATACAAGAAATTTACATTTCTGAGTTCGGAGAAGTTATATGGGTCCACAAATCCTTATCTGTAGAAATTTGACAACTAGCTATGTTTTAGATTTCAATTTTTTTGGATTTAAAAAGGATAATACAAAGAGCAGTGGTATATACCTGTAGTCCTAGCCATTTGGTGAGGCTGAGACAGGAGGATTGTTTGAGCTTAGGAATTCAGGGCTAGCCTGGGCAACATAGCAAGACCTTATCTTTTAAAAAAAAAAAGAAAAGAAAAAGAAAAAGTGACTACTATTTAGGTATATTATATAATGACCCCACTAGGGTTTAGGGCAGAGTCACATAATTAGCACATTAATACTTTTGCAATAAGATATATTCATACAAAGTGATATATATGTATATATAGTATTTATATATAAAGAATGTATCTATATCTATATCTGAATGAGATAATCTCAGTTTCTGGTTTTCCTGATGAGTGAAAAAAATGACTGTTTTCAGAGATTGTGGTATTTTAAAGTTGTAAATATGAAATGGTGGACTTTATACTAATTGGAGGTGAGGAAAAACAAACACATGAAATGAAAAATTAAGAGCCTTGCCTTTAGAACAATGAGAGTTAATAGTTTCCCTCTACTTGCACTGGGATTGGAGGAAAATTCATAGAAAAGTTTCAGTTCAAATTGAGCAAGACTAATGCCAGTGAGCCCAATTGGAGCCCAGGATATCTGTCAGAGGAAATAAATAGAGGCATGTGAGGACAGAGTGGACAGAGTGTGGAAGGTTTGAATGTGAGATGTGAAAGTTGTGACAGTGTTAAGATTCACAAAACTTTTTTGACTAAAGAAGTGCTGTGAAAAATAGCAGTCTTGGTGAAAAATGAATATAATTGATAAAAGTTGACATAATCATGTCAAAAGATAAAATACAACAAAATATACAGAAAGGGGTTGCAGAAAGCAGAAACGGCAAAATCACAGTAGTTGTCTGAAATTGCTTCCCTTATACAATTAAAACAAGGAACTTCCTTAACATTCTCGCTTAGTTAAACCAGGTCTCTTCTTTTGGTTCTGAATCTCTTATTTTTTCATGTTGGCCCATGTAAGAGGGCCTTATAAATTTCAGAAGGCAAAGATGAATTCAAGATATATAGACTGAGCCTAGAAAAGCAGCAGGCTTATGGAAAAAGGAAAATGAAAAGTGCTTCCAAGCGAAAGTGTTTAGAACATGTTGGGTTAGTGAGAAATCTAAGTGGAAATACTTCATAATTGAATATAGAAGCAAAGTATGTGTTGAATATTGAAAGCTAGAACGGGAAAATCACAAAATTGTAAACTTTCATTGTACACATAGAAAAAAATCATTCATTTCATTTTATAGCAACCATGTGTCACCCAGCTAATCCATTGTACTATATAGTGAGAGCAAGACTAAGTAACCCATGTGTGATAGATGTTGTTGCCTTTGCATTGTGTTGTATAAACCATCTCTTACACCACTATCTGTAGTGGAAACTTTGATAGTGACTAAGCTTCCTAGAGGGATGAGGTATGCATACAGAAAGAACAGGCAGAGCTTTGGAGAATGCTCACCAGTAGCGATGGCAGCAAAAAGAGGAGGCAACCAGGAAGATGAATGTAGTGTCAGTGCCAAAGCAATGGGAACTCTACAGGAGAAACAGGTGACCAGTTTTATAAAATCTGTGACGGATATGTGATTGGACATCCTCCCAAGCAGGGGAAAGGAGGAAGGGAGAGGAATAAGAAGTGATAGACGATACCCTTGAGAAGTTTGTCATGAAAGGAAGAGGGATTTGGATTGTTTTGAAGTTTCAAACTTGGTGCCCTGGCAAACTATAAAGTATTTTCTGTATGTGTTGTAAAACCTAAACAACTCTTAGGACCGTGGAAAAGCTGACATCATAAAAATGACCAGATTTATGTTTTTGTTTGTTTGTATGGCTCTGAGCATGAATGCTAGGCAAGCAGTGTACCTCTGAGCTGCATCTCCAGTCCCAATGCCAGATTTTTTTTTACAACAACAGTTTCCCCTTGTGGCATATAAGCTAGGGCAAGCTGTGGAAACCTCAGCAATATTCAATTTGAAAAAGAAAACAGTTTGTTGTTGATCTGTACTGCTCTACTCTTGGGTGGAAAGGTTATGGAATAGGTGTATGTTTTGCAGAAATCTAGAATTACCTCACACTGTACCCTATTTCTGTGTGCTTTACCCTATAAGACCTTTCCTTCACAGAAACAGGTGGGCTGTTCCTAACTCCAAAGGTAAAATGTTCCTGTTGGAGAGAAGTTCAGGAGTCAGGGATTTAAAACCCCAGCCATTCACCATCTGTGAGGTAATCTGAGCAGACTAATACCTTGATCTACTCTTGATCATTGAGCTTGACTCTGAGTTTAGTGGGTTTCTAGAAGGCCTAGAGAACAAGGAAGAATTCTTTCAAAAGGCTTTGGTCTCTCTCCTCTTAGGTTCTTCCTCAATTCCTACCCCATCTGTTTTCTTTCGTCTTTTGATTTCTCAAATCTTCTGTTGTACTGGTGTATCCTTACTTTGATTTTGTGTATTATTTTTTCATAAGTGTATACATTTTATTAATTATGTTGTGGTCAGAGGCATGTGTTGCCATCTCAAAAGGATCTTGCGATGAGGGTATTGAGTGATCTTGTGATACTATATTGAACCAGACATGAAAATTAAATTTAAAGCACTGTAGTCAGGATTTATAGCCCACTTTAGAAACTGTCTTTATTTGAATGAATACACTTTTATTAAATCAGAACTGAACATAATCTTTGGTTTCTATGTTCTTTTGAGAGTATAAATTTAACCAAATGTTTGAAGTCTGTATCTGAAAGCTATGACTCCGGCCCATTTGTTGGAGCCCACCTCCAACTGAGGTTTGCGTATGTAACCAAAGGTACTTGTAGCTATTGAAAAGGTGGGCGGGAAGATTAGCTGCTGGGAGAATGAATAGACCCAAGGCTCCAGCTTGATCCAACATGGAACTAGCGCTATGCAGGACAGAGAAATACTTTTTGATTTCTAAAGTTTAGATTTATTTAACATTTCATATGGACACTTTATATTCCAGATATTATCTATATAAAAACAGTGCTTTATATTTTTGTTAGCTTTTAAGATATACAGTATTCAAATGTTAATAGACATATCATTGAAGAATTATAGTTTGAACACTGAAAGGATAAAAAATTTTATTTCTGTACTGTATAAGTTCTCACTGAAAGTGAATTTTATTTAAAAAACCAAGTATATAATAGAGGATTCATAGTAATGAAATAATCACAAGAATTTCAACAAGTTGAAATATATATTGAGGAGCAAGTTAAGTATATCTGGATTTCAAATGGTATCTAATTATTCTTGGTCCATACCTAAAGATTCTGTTATTTCAAGTGCCCTTATGCTTCATTTCTTTTTTTATTTTAGGTCACTTTTATTCAAAATCTTGTGTTCTGTGTAGAAAGAGTTTACCGTGTACCTGACTTTGGTATCTGGGAAAGAGGAAGCAAATACAACAATGGCAGCACAGAGCTACATTCCAGGTAATGTGCCAGTTTCTTGGGGGTATTTTTGGTTGTTGATGTTGTTTAAATGTGTAGAATTTGAATATGAATAAAATCAAAGCTGTAGACTGAAAGTGTGGTTTCTTTGTTAATCTTCAACACATTATTTGTCTGTGCATGATGCAAATTCAATTAAAATTAAAGCCTAAAGGTTCACTCTCAGCTCTTAAAACAGATGCAAGAAAGGAGTAAGGCATCTTTCCCAACCTCCCTGGGGATCACTACATGCATTCAGCCTTAACCATTAATTCATAGCTTGGCCTTCATGCATTAGAATTTCCAAGCACCAGTTATATATACATGGCATGTAAAATTATAATTTCCTTCCATGTTGCGGAGCTGATTTTTACCCTAACCAGATTCTCATGCCTTTTGGTAAACTTAATATTCAGTGCTTTCTCTAAGAGTTGTGATCAACATCTTGAACTGTAGTTTAGTGTTTGAATAAGCAACAGTATTTGATGAGTGATGTTACTATTTTATGAGTTTTCTTTACTCTTAGGGTTTAGGAAATAGTTTTGGTGACTGAACCTTTTATGTATCCTTACTTTCTGCCAAGGAGGTTATCTTTTAACTAACTAGTTCAATAAGTCCTGTCCATGTTTCACTAAAAGATATTGAACTAAATAAAGGAATTTACAGGTTAGCAGAGGTCATGTAAAGGAGAAAGGTCAGTTTGAATTATTGAGATTTAAATGAAATAGAGAAGGAAATGCAGGTTACCAACAATCTGCAGCTTTGTACTTTTTGGGACACAACAAATTAAGCTAATAGAAGGTACTTAATGAACTAAAAACTAGCTTCAGATCTGGGGTGTGTAGCCCTGAGTAGATAACTTCTAAAAAAGGAAAATAATTATAGTTTTTACTTTACAGAGTTATATTATATGAGTTCATGTTGTTTATGTTTTGACTGGCTGACATTAGTAAAGACTGTATTCATACACTTAAGAACGTTTTAGTAACAAAGGTTGAAATGAAAAGAACTGTCGGATATCCAGGTAAACTAATATACAAACCTTTTTTCATAAGTTTTGTGATTTACGTGATGCAGTTTTACATAGAACAGGATAGTAGCAATCAATGAAGAATTCAAAGATTTTGTGAGAAAGCTCAGTTCAGAAACTAAATTCTTGCCCAGTGTGGTGGTGCACTCTTGTAATCCCAGCACTTGGGAGGCTGAAGCAGGAGGATTGCTGGGAGTTTGAGGCCACCCTGGGTTACATAGTGAGTTCAAGACCGACCTGATCTACATAGTGAGACCCTGTCTCAAAACACAAACAAACAAACAAACAAAAAACCCTTAATTTTTACAAATACTAAAAATAGTAAGATATTATACTTCAGCCATCTTCCAAATTAAGTTCTCAGCATTCCAGATTATTAAACTACAAGAAAGTGATCTGATTAAGTTATTTCAAAATTTTACATTTTCAATGTTTATAAATATCACATTCCTTCCTTGCTTTTTAATAAACATTTAATATCATGCCGGTCTGATTTCAGACTGCGATTATTTGCAGTATAAAATGCTGACAAGTAGGAGTTTTTCTGTAAGAAAGCCAGGTGTGTTGGTGCTCACCTATAATGCTAACACTTCAGGAGGCTGAGGCAGGAAGTTTCCAAGTTCAATGCCAGCCTGGGCAACTTAGCAACTTAATCAAGACCTTGTGTCAAAATTTCAAAATAGAAAAAGAGGGAGCAATTATGTAACTCAGGGCTTGGTTCAATATCCTTTACTGCAAAATAAAACAACAAACAAATAATTAACTATAGTATACTCAGAAAAGTTAACATTAACCCTAGAAAGTGAGGATGTCTGTAGTGAAAAATTATAAGAGACTCAAATTTGTCTTATAACTGATATATCATTCTTTAAGTTGGATCAGTAAAGATTTTATTTCAAAAATTGCAAAGTAAGTATATGTTGTTTTTTTTTTTTTTTTTTTGGCTCTTGGGATTGAGTCTAGGACCTTCACACTGAGCTACATTCCCTTTTATTATTTATTTATCTATTTATTTATTTATTTTTCAGACAGGGTTTTACTAAGTTGTAAAGTTGCCTAGTCTAGCTTCAAACTTAAAATTTCTCCTGCTTTCAGCCTCCAGAGTTTTGGGATGATATATGTGTACTATCACACCAAGCTGTGATGTTCTTTGCTATCTTTTGCATGCAAAATTAATCTTAATTGTAGCCAGTCAGTTTTATTCAAATGGATGGGAAATAAAGTTTATCATTTAGGTTTTCGTGATATATTTTAAATGAGGTGTGATCAAAGATACAGTGAATGTTTAAATTTTATAAAATTTATCACTACAAAAGACGCATTGTCACTAATGTCCCTCGAAACACTTTCCTTTGCTTCAAACACACTTATGCCATTGTTCGTAGTTCTAGAACAGTTCTGAAAGTTCTCTTTTGTGAGTGTCTTTATTGCTATCTCAATGTCCTGAATCAGTTTGAAACATTTACCTTTCATGGCCATTTTGACTACGTGGAAGAGCCAGAAGTTGCAAGGTTCCAGATCCGTTGAGTAAGGTGGATGAGGGCAACACCATAATGTTTTTACAAACCTGCCTTTCTTTTGGATGATATGCAGCAACAATGTTCACCATATTTTTAATCACACTTTGAAAAGACAGGAAAGATGACTTTCAGAAATGCTTTAGAAAATGGCAAGAGAGCCAGGTGTGGTGGCACACACCTGTAATCCCAGCACTCAGGAGGCTGAGGGAGGAGGATCACCACAAGGTGGAGGCCAGCCTGGACTACCTAGTTAATTCAAGACCAGCTTGAACTACATGGCAAAACCCTATCTCATTTAAAAAAAAATGTGGAGAGAATGATAGGATGTATGTTCAGAGCAAGGGGGTATATTTTGAGGAGGATTAATAGCAGTGTGCCTTATACTGTAGTAAAGTTTTAAAATTTAAACTTCCTCCTATATTTTGATCACACCTCATACATTTAACATTGATCATCTAATCGTTCATTGTGTAAAACTTTACAGTTGCTGAAAAGAACTTAAAACTTTCTCTAAGATGCTTTTTGAGCTCATGCATACATAACCTGTTTTAGATGTGTCATCTCTGGACCCAACAGGACATTGTTATGGTTTCTGTCTAGATATCCCTCAGAGCCTCCTGCACTCATAAGCAGGGCTTTTGGAAGGGGATTGGATTATGTAAGGGGTTTAGTTCTTTCTTGCTGCTAGGAGGTGGGGTCTGGTCAGAAGAGGCAGTCACTGTGGGCATGGCCTGGAAGGGTGCATCTCCCTTCCTGGCTGCTTCCCCAAAGCTCTCTGCTGCTGGGCTGCCATGAGTTGAGCAGCTCTCCACCACACCCCTCTGCCACACTGTCCTGCCTTGGTGCCAGCCAACTCTAGATGTGAGCCAAAATGAACCTCCTCTTGTAAGATGTAGGTGTGGGGAATTGTGCCCCAGGAATGAGAAAGTGACTAAGACAGACACACACACACACATTTTAAAATTTTTATCTTTATTCATGTGTACAGTACATAATGATCATATTCATCATGGGAAGTTGGTGCATGTATGTAATGTATCTTAATTCTTTAGGCTTCCCCTGCCCTTCCACCATCTCTTGATCCCCTTCCTGCTTGCAAAAGATCTGTTCTCCTGTTTCCTTTTGCCTTTTATATGGCTCTTTAATTTACTTATATTTTGGGTTTCTCACATAAGAGAAACCATATCATATGTCATATCACTAACATTTTCTCAAGATGTGTCCATTTTCCTATAAATGACTCAGATTTATCCTTCTTTATGGCATACTAGTACTCCACTGTTTATAAATATATTTTCTTTATCCATTCATTTGTTAATGGACATATAGATTGCTTCCAAGATTTAGTTTTTATGATCTGTGCTGCCATAAACATGAGTATGCATGTATCACTGTAATATGATGTCATTAACTCTTTTGGGAAGATACCTAGAAGGAAAATAGCTGGATCAAATGAGATTTTTATTTTTAGTTTCTTGAGGAATCTCCATACTGATTTCCATAGCAGTTATACTAGTTTACATTCCTTTTATTTTGGTGGGGTGGTACAAGGGATCGAACTCAGGACCTTGAGCTTGCGAGGCAGGCATGGCACCACTGAGCTAAATCCCCAGCCCACTAGTTTACATCCTTACCAACAGTGTGGAGGGGTTCCTTTTTCACCTGCAGCCTCACCAGCATTTGTTACTATTTGATTTCTTGATGGTGGTCATTCTTTCTTGGATAAGATAGAATTTCAGTGTTGTTTTAATTTGCATTTCTCTAATGGCTAGCTATGTTGAACATTTTTTCATGTATTAATTGACCACTTGTATTTCTTCTTCTGAGAAGTACCTATTTTAGTTGCCCGTTTTTTTAATTGAATCTTTTATTTTGGAGGGGATTCTAACTTTTTTGAGTTCTTTTTATATTTAGATAGTAGTCCTCTAAGCCAAATACATTTTGAAACTGCAGAACTGAGTTTCACAGTGCTTCTAGGCACACTGATGACATTGGTTTTCAGGGGGTAAGTTCTTTTTCATATTTAGGAATATGTGGTGGAATGGAGGGCTGATTCAAGGCAGGGTTCAGTCACTACTCTTTGACTATTGGTGTTATAAAATGCCCCTGAAAAGTTTTGGCCTAGCCAGATCTGATTTTTACTGCTTAATGCATTAGTCTTGCTATATTCTTATATTATTTTTATAATTGCAGAGTGCTTGAATTAATATTCACAGGTGTTCTTTCACTTAGATGGGGTTACTTCCTGGTAAACCCGTGGTAGGTTGAAGACATTATAAGTCAAAAATGCATATAATACACCTAACTTGCCAAACATCACATCAACACAGCACACTGTAGAGTATCAGGTGTTAGCTCTGGTGTTGGCATGACTGATGGGAGCTGTGATTCATCAGTGCCCAGCCTTGTGAGAATATTGTGCAGCACAGCACCATCATGGGAAAAGATCAAAA